AATTATGATGCAGAACAATGTTTTTATGTAGTATGTTATGCCAATTGAGCTTGATATGTCCCATGAACATGTTCCCAAGCCCACAGGCCCCAAAGCTCTCTCCATCAGGTTGTTTGGCAGCGGCTAAGAAGTTATCATAAATTTGCTGCCTGTTAGTTCTATTTATACAGACATTCTTAAAGGACATACAAATAAGTGTACAGAAACATCATCTTTCAAACATATATATGGTCACGGGCAGATTCCCTTGTGCCTCAACCCACGTGATAATTCAGCCTGTCTACTTATGCACTGGGTCTCTTGCTCACCTCTCTGTGCTTTCCTTTTCCTTAGTGTTATTGTCTTGGTCACTCACTTTTGGTATATTACCTTTCCCTTCACCCAAATAAATACTTGTCTCTTACCTTTCTAGCAATTTTCCCTCCATTGCCCTCACATTCTTGGTAATCAATAAAGGTTTCCTTCCATATAACAACCTTTCCTTAACACTTCAGAAGAGTGCACTAATACAATATTTGGCCTTCTATGATTGATTCATTTCACTCAGCATAGTGTCCTCCAAGCTCATGCACATTATGAAGTGTCTTGACGATTCTACATTATTCTTCAATATTGCATAGTATTCCATTGTGTGTATGTACTACAGTTTATCTATTCCTGGATTGATGAGCACTTAAATTGTTTCCATTTCTTTGCTATTGTAAATAGTGCTGCGATGAACATGGATGTGCACATATCTGTTCATGTCCTGCTTCTCACATCTTTAGGATATATACTTAGTAATAGGATTATTGGATCAAATGATACTTCTATTTCCAACTTTTTAAGGAATCACCATACCAATTTCCACAGTGATTGTATCATTTTACAGTCCCACCACCAGTGTGTAAGTCACAAATCTCTCCACATCCTCACCAGCACTTGTTATTTTCTGTCTTGTTGAACTTTGCTATAATTGCTGGGATGAGATGGTATCTCACGGTTGTTTTGATTTGCTTCTGCCTAATGGCTGATAACCATGAGAGTTTCTTCATGTGTGTGCTGGCTGTTTGAATATCTTCTTTAGTGAAGTGTCTGTTCATGTCTTCTGCCCATTTTATAGCTGGATTGTTTATCTTTTTGATGTTGAGATGTTGGGGTTTTCTATAAATTTCAGAGATAAGTACCTTGTCAGTTATGTCATAGCCAAATACTTTTTCCCA